GGGGCGGCGCTGGTGGCCTAGGGGGGCTCTGTAGGAGCCAGTGTCGCGCATCCTGTCCTTCCTCGTCCTGAGAGGGGCTTCCCTTGAGTCACGGGCCGCGCTTCCTCCCGGCTAAGGTCAGGTGCGGTGACAGCCGTCAGGCCAGGCTCCTTAGCCGTGTGGGCCGGGACCACCCTGTGCCACCTCTGAAGCCAAGGGAGGGCAGCCCCATCGCCACCGCAAGGCTGCAGCACAGAGTGGGGGGCGAGGGGGCAACCCTGCAGGGTCTCCAGTGTCCCCTGCACTCCTGACACACCACGGCCGAGGCGCGTGGCTGACCGCGGGCCACATCCTGGTCCCAGAGAGCCCAGTCAGCCCGGGATGGGCTTCTAGGGTTGTTATCCGCTTCCTTCTCTTTCTTCCTTTTCTTTCCCAATCATATACACACAGCCCCGCTGTGTCCATTGTGAGGGCGGCTCAGGCGCTGTTTGGGGCCCACCTGATTCCTGCCGTCTTGGTCTCAGTGTTTGTTACGCTAAGGAGCCGCCTGCTGCTTTTCTCGAGCGTCAGTACTGTCCCTTTTCAATTACCATGAAGTAGGCAAAGAACTGCTTCCCAGGCCAGGGGGACCAGGTGGCCCAAGGTCGGCTGGTGGCACACGCCTCCAGGTGACGCCACAGAGGCTCCAGAGGCGGCTCGCTTGCGCGTCCGGGCGGGCCCGTGAGGACTGAGGACTGCCTGTCTCTGATGCTGCTCAGCAGGCGCTGAGTGGGCAGGGGCTGGGGCTGGGCGGGTCCCCAGAGTGCGGGAGGGAGGCCAGCGTCGGCAGAGGGGGGTCCTCTGCTGGGCGGGGGCGCCAGGAGCTGCCTCCCGGCAGAGGGGTTCCCTGTCCTGCAGTGGTCAGCCCCCGGGACCACTCCCACACGCCCCGTCCTCCTGTGCGCCTTCGCTCCCCGCAGAGCCCGCCCAAGTTAAATGAGGTCAGCCCGGATGCCAACAGAGAAAACACAGTGGCCGAGTCTGGGTCCGAGTCCTCGTCCCAGGAGGCCACCCCCGAGAAAGGTAGGCCTCGGTCCTGCCCTCTCCCGGGGGGAGTCCGGGAGGCAGGGAGGGGCGGGGACGCTGTGAACCACCCTCGGCCACAGCCCACAGCCGTGCGTGCTGGGGTCCAGTGAGCAGGAGGGGGGCGAGGCCCGGGGCCCTGCCTGGTGACCAGGATGGGGTTGAGGTGGTTGTCGCCCTCCTCCTCGCCCTGAGGCGGCAGATGCTCCTCAGCGCCCTCGGAGGTCTCGCTGTCTGCCATCCTGGCCTGAGTGGGAGAGCGGGAGGCCGCAGCTGCACTGGCCGCTCCCAGTAGCCGCCCTGCAGACTCCGAGGCAGAGTTACGTGGCGCGTTGCCAGGGTCCGCTGTGGGCCCGAGGCGTTGGCCCCCTTGAGGCCAGAGCCACCCTTCGGGTGTCCTGTGAGGTACACCCTCCCCCTGACCAAATCAATAGTCAATGTCGTTTAGCTAATAACATTGCAGAGTCGCTGGCCGAGTCGGCGGCCGCCTACACCAAGGCGACGGCGCGGAAGTGCTTGCTGGAGAAGGTGGAGGTGATCACTGGGGAGGAGGCCGAGAGCAACGTGCTGCAGGTGAGGCGCGCCCGGCCTCGGGGACCCGTCAGTGCGGCTAGCGGACTTCTTGTACTGCTTTGTTTTAGAGCAAAATGGTCTGTTCTGAGACGGTCTTGATAATTTCAGGGAACTACAAAGACGTGTAACAAACACCTCTTGCCACCCAGAGCCAACAGCTGTGATTATTTTGTCCCGGTGGTGCTGTGTTCTTTTCTTAGACCAGACTTCATGGCACCCGTGCCCCGTCCCATCTCCCTCCCCTCCTGGGGCAGCACGTCCAGTGTGGTGGGCCTCCATCTGCCCTTCGTCCTTTCACACATACCTGCGTGTGTGTCTATAAACTACGTATATGTGGCTTTGGGGAGTTTTGAATGTGGGGTTTTTAGTGGTACTTTTTCCCCCCACTCAACAGTTTTTCTTATCTGTCCATCTTGAGAGATATTGACTTACAAAGATCTGCAAACTTTTTCTGTAAAGGGCCACGTGTGGTCTCTCTTGCTTTTTTTTTTTTTTTTTTTTGTATAACAACTTAATTGAGGTACAGTGCACATACTATGAAATTCACCCTTTTGAAGCGTACGGTTCAGTGGTTTTTACTATATTCACTAATTTAGAACACTTTTGGGCCCCCCCCCCTCCCGCGAAAAGAAGCCTTGTGCCCATGAGCAGTCACTGCCCATCCCCCTTCCTGCAGCCCCAGGCAACCCCACTTTCTGTTTCTGTGGATTTGCCTGTTGTGGACGTTTCACGTGAATGGGATCGTACAACATGTGGCCTTTTGTGTCTGGCTTCTCTCATTGAGCGCCACGTTTTCGAGGTTCATCCCTGGTGGACCGTGTGTCAGCGCTTCACTCCTCTTCAAGGCTGAATAACAGTCCCCTGTATTGATGGACCACATTTGTTTATCCAGTCACTTGTTGGTGGGCGCTTGGTTTGTTTCCACTTCTGAGGTATTAAGAATGATGCTCTGTGAACATTCACGTAATAGTTTCTATGTGAACACGTGCTTCACTTCTCGTAGGTAGATACCTAGGAGTGGAATTTCTGGGCCATATGATAACTCCATGTTTAATGTGTTAGAGAACAGTTTTCCACTGTGGCTGCCCCATTTTCCATCCCCATTAGCAAGGTGTGAGGGTTCTGATTTCTCCACATCCTCCAATACCTGTTGTCATCTGTCCTTTTGGTTATTACCATCCTAGTGGGTGTGAAGTGGTATCTTATTGTGGTTTTGATTTGCATTTCCTTAATGATTTTGTTTTTTAATACTCCTCTAAAGATGTAAAATCCATTCTAGCTCGAGGGCAGGACAGAAAAGTGGCCAAGGGCCAGACGTGTCCCTCAGACCATAGTTCGTTGACCCTGCTGGTTCATCGCGGGTTCCCTGCAGGCTCCCGGGGTCTGTCTGCCGGCCAGGGTCCCTGCTCACCCAGAGGGCCACCTTGTGTTCCAGATCCAGTGTAAGCTGTTTGTCTTTGACAAGACCTCGCAGTCGTGGGTGGAGAGAGGCCGGGGGCTGCTCAGACTCAACGACATGGCATCGACTGACGATGGGACGTTGCAGTCCCGACTAGGTGAGCTTTGGCCAGGTTTCTGTGGAGGGGCCTGGGGCGCGGTGGGACGGGGCTCCCTATCTGCACCCACAGCCGGCCCTCAGCCTGCGGGACCCGGCCTGGCCCAGAGGCTCCAGCCGCCAGCCCTTCTGTGACGTTCCTCTTCCTGACCGTGAAAGTGGATAAAAGGATTTAGCCATTTTCAAACTTATTTTCTTGTAAAGTGTCAGTTGTTTCGTGGTGAGTAAACAAAGAAATCAAACATCAACGAAAATCTCTTTATAGCAAGAGGGAAATCTCTGCCTGCCAAGAATGTTTTGGCAGTCCATTCCTGTTCTGTGGATCTTTGTTAAGGAAGTGGGGTGACTTTGTCTCTTGCTCTTTTCACTTGCCGTTTTGTGGGCGTGTTCCTGTGTTGTTAAATTTTCCTTAAAATATGACTGCTTTTGAAAAACTTCTATTATTAATTAACATTCCATCGACCGTGAATGTATTTAGACTTTTCCCTGTTGATGGACGTTTAGGTTGTTCCTAATTTTTTTTGACTTGTAAATAGTGCTACTGGGGCCATCTACACGTGAATCGTATTCCCGGAAGTATGCTTGTTACAGAACGGATGTGTGTGCGGGCATGTTTGTATATATGTGAAACGTGTGTGTTCGTTTGTTTGTTTGTTTTGTTTTGTTTTTTTAATCCTCCCAAGTTAAAATTGTCCTGCGGCCTTTACGGAAACGTCCATTCCTGGCCCAGGCGTAGCTCATGCTGCATCCTTTCAGCACCGTTTTTATGCACTTGGGCTTCTGTTCGGGCACTGTTCTTTTTCATTTTCCCTAATGGAAACGTGCAAGTGTGTCTGGACAGAGAGGGCGCAGGATTTTGAGCCCCCGCGGCTCGTGGCTCTGCCCCTGGGTCACCAGCCTCGTTGTAACTGCACTGTCCCCTCCCTTGTTGAGATCCTTCCCGGCCATCGTCTCCTTTCACCCCACGCAGCCTTTGATCCTTGGCATTGACCTTCCTTCCCTCCAGGTCCACCTCGGGGGGCGGGTTGGGCTGTGAGGCCGGGCCCAGAGGGCTGGTGGGGGTGAGGGTCACCCAGATTGGGGTGACCGCTTGTAATCTGCTCCGGGTTTTCCAGTGGGGAGGGCCAGGCTGGCAGGAAGGCCAGGGCTCACCTGTGTCCACGGGGTTGGGGCTCGGGCAGGGTGGGTAGGCTCGGACAAGTTGAGCAGGACGACATTGGCCTTGGGCCGCTGTGGGTGGAGCTCGTGGCCTCACCCACATTTCCAGAGAGGGAGGGCCTGTCCCCTGTTCTCCACTGTGTGCTGCCCTAAGTCTACCTTTGTCTCCCTCCTGATGGAAGCTCTGAGCAGCGGTCAGCCCCAACCCTTCCTCTAAGCAGTTAGCTCCTTTTCATGGGGCAGGAGCTGCGCCTTGGCCTGTGGGTGGCGACAGTCAGGGGGCGTAGACTTCGTGTGGCGTGTCCCCAGTGTGCAGACCCACCTCCGCCTCCTGCTGCCGCCTGACCAGCCCCTTCCCCAGGGGAGCCGCCATCCCGGCACCAGCTCCACCCACTGGATGTGCCGCCAGGGGTGGGGGGTTGCCAGGGCTGCCGCTCAGCAGGCAGGAGGCTTTCGTGGACCTTGGGGGGGATTGTGGGATTTCACCCTGGGGGTGTTGGCTTTCCTGCAGATTGTGTCTGTTCTCATAGCGGCTTCGTCGAGGGGTGGGGGGCAGAGCTGATGGCCTCGTTGGTTGCAGTGATGCGGACCCAGGGCAGCCTGCGGCTGATCCTCAACACCAAGCTGTGGGCCCAGATGCAGATGGACAAGGCCAGTGAGAAGAGCATCCGCATCACAGCCATGGACACGGAGGACCAGGGCGTGAAGGTCTTCCTGATCTCGGTGAGCAGCCCCAGGGACGGGCTGGGCTGCCCCCGGCCTCTCGGGGAACAAAGCTGTCCAAACAGCCCCCAGACAAGGGCAGGGCAGCCCCATGCCCAGCACTCAGAGACCTGCACTGAGGGCCTGGCCGGGGAGAGTAGGAGGCCTCCAGGGTCAGGTTGGCTCACCGAAGGCTGGCCCGGGCGTAGGCTCTGTGGACCCCTCTGGAGGACAGGCCCTGGGCCTGGGGGAGCTTCGGTCTGCTGTCCCCTGGTTTGTCGAGGAGAGAGGTCAGGCTCCTCCCAAGTCCAGCCCGGGAGCTGGGACATCCCATTACGGCAGGGGCTGCGGCCACGTCACCTGAGGAGGGGTCTCCCTGTGAGGCCTTGTAACCTGGCCCTCCCCTCTGCCTCCGCCAGGCCAGCTCCAAGGACACGGGCCAGCTGTATGCGGCCCTGCACCACCGCATCCTGGCCCTGCGCAGCCACGTGGAGCAGGAGCAGGAGGCCAGGACGCCGGCCCCCGAGCCCGGGGCGGCCCCATCCAACGAGGACGACAGCGACGACGACGTCCTGGCCCCGTCGGGGGCCACCGGAGGCGGTGAGCCAGGGGTCCCGGGGCTGACGCGAGGGGTGGGGCTGTGTCCAGGGCAGACACCTGACGGCCAGGCCACCGCTCCCCACAGGCGCTGGCGACGAAGGGGACGGGCAGACGGCCGGGAGCACATAGCGCCGGGAGCCGGCTGCCCACGAGCCTGCTGCTTTGTCCGTCTGTCTGCCCGCCCGCCCGCCCCTCCCTCCGGCAGCGTCGAGGCGCGGGGCTCGGGAACCACACTCCCCGCTGGGTGGCCACAGTCTGGATCCGCACGTCCCGTTCAGAAGCAGACTCGGGAACTGCCTGAATGTGGTTTGGGACACGAACCTCATCATATTGATGAGCAAAACGAAAAAGAACGTTTCTTCCCTCCCCACCTTGAATTGAAATGGCACATTAAGACTTGTCACGGCTTCTCACTGGGACTGGGACCCCTCGTTTCTTCACCCCACCCTCGTCGTGTCGCCGGCTCTCCCTGCCTCCACCTGCCCGGGCACCGGGTCTGTCCACACAGTGTCACGCTGGGCCTGCTGGACCTTCTGTTACTACTGTCTTTACCTCCCAGCTCCCACGTTCTGACTTGGGGGGGTTTATTTTTAGACCTTTTCTTCCCCCACCCCACCCCCCAAGGCTTTTTGTTTGGTTTCCTAGATCGAGGCGCTTCTCTTCTGTGTGTTGAGCAGGCACGGCTCCGTTACGGGCTGCGTCCTCGTTCCGCCTGTGGCCCCGGCCCCCGTGCCGGGGGTGCTCCCCACCTGGGGTTCCTCCAGGCCAAGTCGTGGGGTGCGGAGGGGTTGGGCCCTGGGCCTGGAGAGCCTATCTAGAAAAGGGTCACTGGGCGTGGGACAGCTCCCCCCGGCCCCGATCCTCCTGTCTGTCCGCATAACGTGGGTTACCCATCATCGGGCACCCAGGTGCAAACCTGCTTCCTGCTGTTGGCCGTTCCTTCCTTGCCCAGCCCTGGACATCTCTGCCCCCAAGACCGTCGAGGGCTGGGGGCCTCTGTGAGAGGCAGAGGGGGACCCTGGCAGGGCCTTCAAGAACGGGGCAGCGAGCGGACCGGTTCCAGACAACGGGCAGCACACACAGGAGCGGCGCCCTCTGCCTGCCCCACCCCGTAGCGTGGCCAAGAGCCAGCTGGGTGCCGCCCGCCTGGCGGGGCCCGCAGAGGAGGCCTCTGTGCACAGGGCCCTCACAGGGTGAGGGGGAGGCCCGTCTGAGCTGTGCCGCCCACACCTCAGGGTGGCCTGTGCAGCCCGCATCCGCGTCCGCGCCTGAGCCACGGGACGACACCAAAGGCCCTCCCAGCAGATCCGGTCACACTTCTCTGCTTTAAGCCTTAGCCAACTAGTGACAAGTAAAACCAGATAACGCCCATGTGTTTTGGAACATTTATGTAAGATTGTCATATGAAATGTATTTGGGAACTACATTAAAACTTTTAACTAAAACTCTGGCCTCCTGCGTGCCCCAGGGGCCTCAGGAAGCCAGGCAACCTGGCCAGGAACGGTTCCTCAGCAGCCTGGCCTGCCCCACACTCCACACCTGGGCAGGTGACCAAGCTCGGCTGCCTTCCAAGACCGGCCACTCCGTGCAGAGCCTTGCTTCACAGAAGAGCAGTTTGCTTCCCCACCCGGGCGCTGCCTGGCTTCCTGGGGGAGTCACGAGGGAGGGGTGAGGGTGCTGACAGGGTTCACTTGAGCAGAGCCAGGAGGAGACCTGGGGTCGGCATGGCGTGAGCATGGAGGGTCCCACTCCCTGGGCTCCTGAACCAGTGACCCATCGTTGGAACCTTTGTCCCACTGACACCTGGTGGCCAAGCCGTGTCCCTGGAGACCTGGTCCAGCCGGTTCTGCGGCCTCAATCTTCCCACAGTCCCCTCCATCCCCCACCCCGGGGCTGCTCAGCTCAAAGCCCAGGTGAGAGGGGCCCTGGCCTAGGGGTGCTGGGTGGGGCCCTATGCTGCATGGTGCCAGCCGAGTGGGTGTGCACCGCTCACAGCCGCCAGGCGCTGGTCATCATGGCCACAAACTCCTCATCCGTGTCCACAGAGGCGCTCACGCCACTGTAGTAGTCCTGGAACTCGGCCAGCGTGACCTGGGGGCAGACAGGCTGTCAGGGGGGACCGCAGGCGTGGGCAGAGGGGGTGGGGTACCCGCGCACCCACCTGCCCGTCCTTCTCGGAGGAGTCAAAGTTGGCCAGGAAGCGGCGGAGCACCTCCTCCTCCGTCCACTCCCCGCTCCGCACCCTGGGGTGGGCGCGGCCGCTGTACACCCCCCGGAGGTCATCCACAGTCACCACGCCGTCCCCGCTGCGGTCCAGCTTGGCGAATGCGGCTGTGATGACTGCCTCCCGGACCTGGGACATGGGGGGCTGGGGGGGAGGTGGTGACTGGAGGGGCGGAGCTCGGGAGGTCCCCCGAGTCCCCACACCGATGTGGATAAGCCCACAAGGACTTGGCACCCCCGTATGACAGGGTGGAGGGACTCGCACGCGGTCGAGCGCCCAGCCTCACCCGCAGTGCCCGCAGGAACTCCTCCAGGTCCAGCGTCCCACTGCCGTCACGGTCCCAGCGCCTGCACACGCCCTGCGCCTCGGCCGTGTCCAGCACCAGCCCCAGCTCAGCCAGGCCCCGCTGGAGCTCCCCTGCATCCAGGGACCGGCTCCTGTCCCGGTCCATGTGGCGGAAAAACCTGGGGGGCAGGGGGCGTGTTTGGAAAGTGATCCGGGGGGTTGGGGAGGTGTGAGGGGACAGCTCACCTGGCCAGACCCTGGATGCCCGAAGCCCCTCGGGACAGGCACTGGGCCCGGAGCTTCTCCATGGTGGCGTCCACAGCATCCATGATGGGTCAGGGCTCCCTGGGCTGCTGGACGGGAGAGAGATCTGGAGGGGCTCCCGCTCGGCAAGCAGGCTACAGGCCGGGTGTCCCCGCTCACTCACCTGGCCTTCGTCTGTCCTGGAGTCCGGGTAGCCGCTCCGCCTGCCTCCTGCCTGCTCTGCCCAGCGTTGGCAGTGTGTCCTGCCGGGCCGGGCTGTTGCCAAGGGACGGTACCCTGGAGACTGGGAGGGGCCCCAGCTGTAACTCTCTAGGCACCAGAGCCTCATGGCCCTCAGCACGGCCCTGTGGGGGCATATGGCGGGCCGAGAGGCACAGGGCAGTGCTGTTGCTGCCGCCGCTGTCCACCTGCTGTCCTGCTCGCTTATTCCCAGCCCTGCAGTGCCCAGGTCCTGGGATAAAGCCAGGCCCAGGTGGTGGGGGGCGGGGGGAGAGGGGGTCACTTCCTAACCACAAGGAGGAAGGGTGGGCCACAGCCCTGTGGGGACCAGTGTCCTGGATGGAGGGAGGCAAGGCCCAATTCCTGTGTGACCTGGAGCAGGTCCCCTCTCCTCTCTGGGCTTCACCAGCCACCAGCCCCTTTTCACAGGGCTGCAGCCAAAGCTGCTGAGGGATCCAACTTTAAAGGACTCGAGGTGACCCAGGCCCCTGTCCAGCAGGTGGTGCTCACAGCTGGGTCCTACAGACATCACCGTTGACTTGGACAAAGCAATTCCTGGTAGTTGCTTAGGGCCAGTCAATATGGGTCACCTGGTGGTTGGTTTCCAGGTCTCAAACATCACTTGGTGGGCTGGCTCATTCATGACAAGCTGCTGAGCCAGGGGCTTCAGTACCGGCCAGAGAAGCGACCCTGACCCCTGACATCCGTAATCCAAGAGGAACCGAGGCCGCCATCACTGAATGCCTTCTGTCGAGACTTTGGACATCTTGCCAACCGAGAGCGTTACACCAACAGTCAGGATTGAAAATGATAATGGATTTCCCAGGACTTAAAACGTGGGCCCCCGTTTGGGGACGCCACCACCCGCAGAGACCCAGGGATCATCAGAAGCTTTGCAAAGCTTGCAGTTGCACACAGCACAGTGGTATTGTCGAAAGTTGCTGCCACAGTCAGAAGCCAAGCCGTGGATCACAAGCCACCCGGCGCTGCGATTCAAGCTACAGCTGATTGCCGCACCATCAGTTTTATGAGAAACTGCAGTGGCAGTCTGCTGCAGAGATTCTTGTGGCTTGCTGCAGTCCAAAATTCTTTACGTAGGCAAAGAAATACTCCATTGTGTATTTTTATGAGGGTTACAAATGTCGGATTTTTTTTTTTTTTTATAGAAAAATGTAGAATGTAACCACAACTATTGTAGCTCTGTTTGGGCATCTCCACATTTTTAAGAGAATCAGAATTTCAACAATAAAAAATTGGAAGTGGCCAGGGCCCTTCCGACCCAGAGGCCCTTTTCACTTTACCTCTCTTGAGCCTTGCTTTGCACAGCTGTAAAATGGGGTGATGCCTGTGTGCATAGTTGTCTGAGGAGTTGAGACACAACCGTGTGTGTGGAGTGCCTGGCACAAGCTCCCGGGGCTGTAACTTGTGTCTCCCCACCCAGCGGGGCCCCACCCTGGACCAGGAGCAGCACAGCAGCCCCCCTCCAGCTCCCCCACCAGGAAGAAAGGAGGAAGGACCAATGCCATGAAATCATTTGGTTTATTCTTGAGCTCCGACAGGTGCCAGCCTGCCTTCGCCTCGTACAAACAGCACCCCCCAACCCCTGTTCGTCCAAAGGAGAAAACCGGGTGCCACACAGGGGGTCACTGTGAGACGCCAGGTGGTCCCATCCTGAGGGCTGAGGGTGGACGCTGAGCCTTCCGGGCTGGAAGGGGCTGTGCCCCGCCATGGTTCCTGGTATGACCATTCCCTGAGTCAGGAGGCGGGAGAAAGCTACCATGGTACCAGGCCAGGCACTTGGGCTGGGCAGAGAAGGGCACAGAGTTCCCTGTTTGGATTTAAAAAAAAAAAAAAACACCCCGAATATCTTGGGCCAAGAAGGGCAGCATAGAAATAAGGAGTGAAAAAATAGCTTCTCTAAGGAATATAAAAAGGAGCCAGGTGCTGCTACAAAAGCTACACTGGCCGGGGTGCCTCATGGGATGTGCTGGGGTCCCTGGCTCTCTTCAGGGTCCATAGACCCATCCTGTGCCTACCGGGGTCCCAGGGTGTGCCTGCCACTGGTGACAAACAGAGAACAAAAACCCTGCCCTCGTAGAGCTTCCACTCTGATGGTAAGAAGTTACATAAAGAAAATAAAATGCAGTGGGGGTGGAGTGGAGAAGAATGACTTCCAATCAGGTGGTCAGGGAAGGCCTCTGGGAGGAAGTGACGTTTGAGCAAAGACCTGAGTGACAAGGAGCTAGTCCTGTGACAGCTGGGGGAAGAGCATTCTAGGCAGAGGGAACAGCCAGTGTAAAGACCCTGAGGCAGGACGCTATCAAGAAAAGTTTATGGGATGCCCGAGTTTGCCTGGGCAGCAAAGCCTGGCTGCAGACATCTCAGCACATCACACACGCACACTCTTCCCTGGGTTGAGGGAAGGATAGAATTCGGGGGAAAAACTCTAGGATTAAAACTTCGTCTTCATATAACCAATGCAAAATGGCCTGAGGGTTGAGGCTCACAATTCTGGACTGAGATGAGAATAAGAAAAAGCTTTAGGATGGGGAACGCTTCGGGAGGAACAAAAATCAGGGCAAGGGGAAAAGAGGGAGAGAAACTCGAATCATCCGCCTCCACCAGAAAAAGAGAGGTCTCAAACTCAGATGCTTCAGGGGCCAGACATCTGACCCTAAGAGACATGTGGAGCCTGAAACTCACACTCGCTGAAGAGGGTGCCCTGGACTCAGATCCAGGCAGGCACCGCCCAGTCTGAAGCTAGAAATCCAGATTTTTGTGTGTCAGCACTGTCAGTTCTCCAACAAGGGTGATTGACTGATTCAAAGTTTTCTTTTTAAAAAAACAGAAACTTTTCTCCGGGTTCAACATCTGCACTTGTTCCTGCAGGCCGCCCATTTGAAACCTATGACTCTTTAAGAGGTTCTGACGTTTGGACAGGATTATGGCTCTGCCGCGGGGTCCTCTCTGGGGTACTGGTGACCCCCAAGGACACCCACAGCAGTGGAAAAAGTCCCCGTAGGGGTCCTCTTTCTCCATTCTGGAATCTACTCTGGGACTCACACAGTGGTCCCAAACACAGCAGGCTGGAGGTGGTCCCTGTCCTCTTCCTCCCCAGTACTGTTGGCAAGGTGTGAACTGGGCCCACCAGGGAGTGGGTGACTGGGGTCACTGGCCGGCAGGGGCCCCAGGCGCTCAGCCTCAGCCAGGGTGGCCATCAGCCCTGCCAGGGGTGGCCGGCGGCGGCAGATGTCCTGCAGCAGTTCAGCCCGGGGCTGCAGCTGCCTGATGAGCTTGTCCCTCTGGCACACGGCAGCCTGCAGACTCTGGACAGTAGCCTCGGAGGTCAGCAGCTGCTCCTGGAGAGCGGCAATCTCACTGGCAGGAAGGCAACACGGGGCAGTTATGGCACGGGGGAGCCAGAGGTTTTCTTCCCCTGCTCCCGACCTCCATCCCTGTCAGGATAAAGCCCCCCTATTACGGACTGAATGTCTTGTGTCCCTCCCTCCCCGAATTCATATATTGAATCCCTACGCCACAATGTGACAGTACTTGGAGATGGGGCCTTGAGAGGTAAGTTTAGATGAGGTCATGAGGGTTTCCTCATAAGAAGAGACACACCAGAGAGCTTGCTCTCTCTCTGTGCCACGTGAGGACACAGTGAGAAGATGACCATCTGCAAGCCAGGAAGAGGACCCTCACAAGGAACTGAATCTGTCAGTACCTTGATCTTGGATTTCCCAGCCTCCAGAACTGTGAGAAATGATTTGATGTTGTTTAAGCCACCCAGTCTGTGGTACTCTTTAACGGCAACCTCAGCAGACTAACACACTCCCTCATCCATCCCCGTAGCTCTTCCTGCAGTTCCCATGTCCCCTACATCTTTTCCTATTTGTTGTTCAGCTTAGATGGCTCCCCCTCCAGGAAGCCTTCCTTCTGGGCCCCCTCAGAGCCGTGTGGCCCTCCATCACACACACCCAATCACCCCATATTGGAACTGCCTAACAATGTGTCTGCTTGAGGGCAGGGCTGCATAGGTCTAACTGATGTGCCTTAATACCCAGCACAGTGCCTGGCCCATAGTAGATGCTCAGTAAAGATGAAGTAATGAGTCCAACCAGCTCTGGATATTTTCCCACCCGGTCCTCGGCACCACCTTCCTCCCTGGGCACTTGTCTCATCCCTTTCAACCCTCAGCTAGAGGGACTCTTCAAAACTGCTGATATCATCCCATCCTCCCCTCCTCGAGAACCTGCCATGGCTCCGGTACCTACATCAGGCGGCTGGTGGTCCCTGCACCACTCAGGACCAGCCGATTTTGCCTAGTGGTAAAATGGACCCTGTTTAAGTTAGATACCCACACTTGTATGACATCTCTCAACTTTACATAGTGAAAACTAAGTCAAGTATTTTGGTGTTTGTTTTTCCAATCCCACCAGTAGTCCGGCTGCACGTGAATGCACACGATTTCCCCTGCCGGTCCTCCTTTCCAGTCTCGGCTCTGCCTCCGCCCACCTCCTCCGACAAGTCCATGTGGCCGGCCCCGAGCCTCACCGGTCCTTGGCGCGGCCCAGCTCGTCTAGGGCGGCGCGCAGCTGCTGGTCGTGGCGGGCCAGGCGCTCGGCCTGGGTGCGCACCGTGCGCTCGGCCGCGTCCAGCCGCGCCTCCAGCTCCGCCGCGCGCCGGTGTACCGCAGCCAGGTGTGCGTTCGCCTCGCGGATCTGCAGGGGCGGCGGCGCTGACATGGCCCCTGCCGCGGTCCAGGCCCGGCCACGCCCACGGGCGGCCCGGAACCGGCCCTGGCCGCGCCCACGGGGCCACGCCCCCAGCGGTCCGTTCAGGGCTTCGGCGTGATTGGCCGCAATCACTGCTAGGCTCCGCCCCCAGGGCTGGGTCTCGCCCTCCTCAAACCCGAACACCCTCGCTGATTCCGGCAACTCGAAACTCCACCCCTGAGCCGGGCCTAACTCCAAGATTGGCCAAGGTCTTAACAAACCACGCCCCCAGGTTGGCCTTGTCCTCTGGTGGCGCCCCAGTTCGGGCTCTGGCAGCAGGATTGGTCATGCCCTCGAGACAGGACCCCGCCCCCCTCCCCTACTTAGAAGCTAACGCCGGGTTGGTCAGGCCCACAAGCCTGACCACGGCCCTGGAACCAGCTACGCTTCTCTCACGGGCCGCGTTCCTGCGCCCTAGGCAATTGTACAGCTCCGGATTGGTCAAGTGCCCTTCAGGTTATGTTTGGGCTCTGGCCTCGCCCCAAGCCTAGAGCATTCTTCATCCCGCCCAGGGGTTGGACTAGCCACAAACTGGGAACAGACCACATCGTGCTAAGAATCCGAGCACTGGGATTGGACACTTTCGCGTTAAGCCCCTGAACCTGACCACGCCCCCAAATAGTCGCACGCTGTTCAGACTCTGGCTTAAGACTGGCCACTGGGCGTAACCAAGCCTCCCCACAGATTCGGGCGCTGGGAGTGGCCACATCCCGCCACGTCCCGCCCCATAATGACGTCTCTCTCCTATCAAGTGGAGTACGGCCCCGCGGTCTCGTCTGTGCCTGTGGATAGGCCTAGTACCTTTGATAGTCCCGCCCCTAGTTAGGCCCCACCTCCGGGAGTCGAACCACTCCCGACCCAGGACCTTCTGAACTGAACTAGCGACATCTGCCTTCACTGATCCTGGTCGGCCTCAGTTTCCCCCTCCAGAAATCGGCCAGGGCTGCACGCGCTCTTCCTTTACGCCAGTCCCGATTGCAAGCGCTTGAGCGCGACCCGTGTCCACGTCCGCGGCGCTCAATAAAGTTGCTCGCTTGTTGCCGTCCCGCCCGTAAGAGAGGCTGAGCGCGCCGCCCAGCAAGTCTCGCGAGAGTCAGCGGCGTCCGCCCTTGGGCGCTGGGAGCCGGGGCGTCTTGCGGTGCGGAGCACGGGGTGGTTCGTCATGGCTAAGACGCTTCTTCACCAGTACTGGGACATCCCCGAAGGTACCGAGTGCCACCACAAGGCCTACGCCACCACCAGTATCGGTGGTGCCACTGGTGAGCGCCGGTCGGGTCCCCAAGGCGGAGGGCGCAGGGAGGCCGTGGGGTCACTGGGGGCTGTCCGAGGGCGTCCTGGAGGGGCTGCGGATCTCGCGGGGTGGCAGTGGTCATCGTCGGGGTGTCTGGGGCGGCCTTGGGACGCTGGGGGGCTCTCGTACAAGATAGACTTTGTGGGGGTGTCGGACTAACTCACAGGGCGCAGAGAGGTCATAGGGTCACTGGGAGCAGTCCGAGGGGGTCCCATGGGGGCTGGGAATCTCGCGGAGTGGTACGTGACCATCGTCGGGGTGTCTGAGCCGGCCGTGGGGACCGCTGGTGTGAGATAGACGTTGTGGGGGGATGGGTGTGGCAGGGTTGGAGGGCCCTGGGAGGTCGTGGTACATATGACAAGCTGGTCACTGGGGTCGTCAAAATCCCTGGGTGCTGGCATTTTGAGGTTATTGTTGAAACGCTCACCGGGCTCTGGGAAAGTGATGGAGTGGGAAGTGGTGGAGTGGGACGGGGCCATTATCGGTGTCAGAGAAGCTGGAGGGTTCTGAGACTTTCCAACTGGGTGTCTTTGAGATAATTTGGGAGGATCGTGGGTTATTATTGAGGTGTCTGAAGGCAGAAGTTTGAGAAGGTTCTGGAGTGGGATGAGGTCTTTGTAGGATCTAGGAGAACTGGGTAGTCAGAGACATCTGAAACTTTTATTGGGGGCTATCAGAGGGGTCTTAGGGGCGCTGCGGAGATGATAAATGAAGTGAGTCAGCAGCTACCATAAGGGTAGCCTTGGGGAACCATAAGGGGAATCTCAGGGGACGCACAGCCCTAGCAGTCCTCTGCAGGGGAGACCCTGGAGTCTCGCCTCTTCTAGTCGCCTTCCCAATCTCAGTCTGAGACATAGGTATGATGGGTTTGGGGGCCACCTCTGTATCTCCAGCTCCTGCAACAGGGCCTGGCAGAATTTGAGTCTGCACTGGGAGGCTTTGCATTAGGACCTAGTCAGTGCTACCATTTTCTGCATATTTAATAACGGGTACCATTATCATCTTCATTTCTCAGAGGCGGAAACTGAAGGTTAGAGAGGTGGATGAACTGCCCCGGCGTCTTTGGGAGCCGGGCTGCAAATCCCGGTCTGCTCCTGGGGGTGACTGGGGCAAGGAATGCACCTCCAGGGTCCTCCTGAAGGGTCTTCAGGAAGGCTGAAGAGGGAGTCCCAGGGGATGGGTTTTGTAGCATCTGCTTGAACAGAGCCTGGAGGGGGCTTGTTGGAGGGTGTTTGAGGGTGTGTGGGTGGAAACCTTTAACGGAGGCACTATGTCGGGTGGTCGTGGAGAGACTCAGTTTTGGGGGTGGTCACTGGCTTCCAGGAGCCCTGCAGGGGGCCCAGAGGTCTTCAAGGGCGTTGCTGTGTGCGTGTGTCACTCACTCTGTCCGCCCGCATTTTCTCACTGACCTACTCCACTCAACACTCAGGACCTGATTAAACGTGCTCCTGGATCCTCCCTCACCTCCCCGCTCCTCCATCCCTGCCGCCCCTCAGCCCTCCACCCAGGAAACTCGTTTCACACTTGGCTTCCCTGGGATGGTGAGCCCCTGTAGGGCAGGGAGCCAGGCCCTAGCCCAGCCCAGCGCCCTGTGGGAACACAATAACTGAAGGAACAAATGAGTGAGGGAAGGAAGGAAGGAAGGCAGGGCAGTAACTAGGAATGAACGAATGAGTGACTTCGTGAGTGAATGAATGACTTTGTGAATGAATGAGAGAAGGAAGGCCCGCAGTAACTAGGATGAATGAATGAGTGACTTGTGAATGAATGAATGAGTGAGGGAAGGTACACAATAAATGAGTGAATGAATGTATGTGGGCCCACAGTTACAGACTGTGAATGAATGAACGTGCACCGTGTCAAGACGGTCACTTCAGGAGGCTAGGAGCAGGCAGAGGGCCTGGGGAGGGGCCTTTTGAGGGGGTGATGGGAGCCTGTGGAAGGGCCGAGTCAGTAGAGACTCTCGAGTGCTGGGGAGGGTGGCTGCAGCGTCTGAGGAGTTACGTGGGCTCCCGGGGGCGCGGGTGGCTGCAGCGTCTGAGGAGTTAAGTGGGCTCCCGGGGGCGCAGGCTGGCACATCACCTACTGAAGGATTGCTGGGGGGAGGGGGCCAGTCCTTCACCCTGGGATAGTCCAGCACCTTCCAGGTCATCCGCTCCCAGGTAAAGGGCTTCTGAGGGGTCTTGGGATTGTGGGGCACTCTGTGTCCCACGTGGCCTGTGAACTGGGCCTCCCTCAGGCAGGACCGCAGGCAAATGGGGGTGGGGTCAATCAGGTGCTCCCGCCAGGACTCACTGCCTGACTGGGTTTGGGGACCGTCACTGAATCTTGTCAGTGGTTCTTCGGCAGAGGGTCATAACTCCTGGTTCCTGGCCCAGCTCTGGAGATCGTGCCTCCCCAGGTCCCAGGCAGGATGGGGAACTCCCCCTCTGATTCAGCCTCTTTACTAGGTGGGGTTTGGGGGTGGGGACGTGTGAGAGAATGACTGAAGAAGGGGGTTTGTTGGGCCAGGGCGGGCTGTGCAGGCTTGGGGGAACCCCAGACTCTGGTCCCCTCCCCCCTTCCCAGCCTTCAGCCACTCTGAGGGGAGCAGGGACGCTAGGGTTCATCATGGGATCAGGAGGGATTTGATCTGGGGAGTCCCCGGGTGGGCGCCTTGCGTGAGGGAGCCTTCTGTGTGTGCTCTTTTCCTGTTGTCTCTGGGACTCAGTTTCCCTGTCTGGGAAGTGGGGTGGCCGTCTTGGCCCTCTTAGGGGCTGCTCTCAAGGTTATCCCCGCTGTGCAGTGTGAAAAGTTCCCCACAGCTCTTGTGAGCTGAACCCCAGCCAGGGCTTGGGGGGGAACACTGCTCAGCCAGGAAGGTCACGTGAGGGCTGCACGCAAGCTGTGAGGTCTCCAGAAGCTGCAGGCTTGGAGACCTGGCGGGGCCCACATCCCTGGGGCATCGGTGAAGGTGGCGCTTGGCGTTTGGGTCATACCCTTCTGGCTTCCAGGCTACTCTGCTGGGTGGCATCAGGCAAGTCGCTCTGCCTGCCTGAGGACACTCCCCGCCCCGTCCACAAAGCGACGGATCAGAGGGGACTGAGCCCATTGGGCCCTGAGGAGGGTGAATGGGGTGGTGGGTGCCCTTGCCGCCTGGCAGGTGGCAGTTGTGTTTTGTCTGGGGTGGGCTGGCCCCAGGAGGTCTGTGCTGGCGGCCTGCTCACCCTGGTGGTCTGTCGGGAGGGGAGGGGTGCATTGTCTGCCCCGAGCAGGGTCAGCTGGAGGGTGGGGAGCCCCGTGCTGGAGCCAGCCAGCTGGGCTTTGGCCTAACGTCCACTGAAGAGGGTCTGGCTGGGGAGGCTGCCCGAGGCTGCCCCAGCCTTACCCCAGACCCACACATGGCCCAGGTCAGCGTTGCCTCAGGATGCCCCAGGCTAGGACCTCGGGCCCGGCCACCCACCTGGCACTTGGCTCCAGGCGTGGCCCCCACCAGGGCCCCTCACACGTAAAAGCCAATGTCAGGGGCAGGGCAGCCGGGGCGGCGGCAGAGATGTAAGAGCTGACGAGAGTGGCGAGGCTGAGCCAGCCAGGGGCGAGGGACGGGCCCGGCGGTGGTGAGGAAGAGGCGTTGGTGGCCCCGGAGCGAGCCTCCGAGCCTCTGCTAAGGAACCCTGGGCCCTGCGGGTGAATGCAGCCTGTGACAGGAGTGGGGAGCTGGGCCAGGGTGCCGGCGCAGCCACCAAGGCCCCAGCCCATCCTTGCGGAGGCCGTGTGCTGGGCTGGTGCCCTGCGGGGGGCCAGCAAGGGCAAGGGGACGCAGGTGGCACTCTGCAGGCCTTGGTAGGGGGAGGCCTGGGGGCTGGAGGGGGCGGGTGAGAGCCCAGGCCTCGGAGCCGGGTTTGGGCCCCAGGTCATCGACTGTGGGACTGAAACAGCCCCTCCTGGGCCAAGCAGTGGCACCAGGAGCCACCTTGGTGGCTGCTGTGAGGATGAAGGGAGCCGTCACTGTGGGATGGGGAGGGGCCTGCCCCCAGCCAGGGCCCGGGTCTGACTCACCTCCCCGCCCTCTCTTCCCACAGGTCTCATCGCCTCCGCCTACAGTGTGGCGCTCCGGACCCCGGCCTCCTTTCTGGAGGGAGTGGCGAGGACAGGACGGTACACGTTTACCGCAGGTGAGCGAGCGAGACCGCCCGGCGCGTGGGCTTCTCCTTCGCGGGCACTCCCGGCGCTGGTCTGGGCCCCTGACTCAGACTCAGGGCCCGTCCCTCCCCCCGGCCCTACAGCTGCCATCGGTGCCATATTCGGCCTCACCTCCTGCGTCAGCGCCCAGGTCCGCGAGAAGCCTGACGACCCCCTCAACTACTTGCTCGGAGGCTGCGCCGGAGGCTTGACCCTGGGAGCGCGCAGTGAGTGAGCCCGCGCCCCTGGCCTCTGCCAGCCCTCCCCCCTCTCGCCTCCTGGGCCCGGGACCGGTGCGGGCAGCGGGCAGGAGGAACGCGCGTCCAGCTGCGGAGCCGGCCGTCGCCCTGAGAGCTCCCAGCACCTTTGAACCTCGGCCACCAGCTAGCGTAGCAGTGGTTTCAGCTGTTGCTGCTCAGGCAGCTACCCGCGCCCACCTCGCCACACCCTCTCGCCCTCCCGTGGCTGCCTGTGACACTTGGCATGGCCCCCGAGGCCCCGCGTGCGGACTGTTCCCGTCCCCTCCCTGCCCTCGCCGCCTCGCTTGCTCTGCTCCAGTCCCGTGGCCTCCTTGCTGTGCCCCCTGCACACCAGGCACGGTCCTGCCCCAGGGCCTCGGCATGGGCTGTGCCCTCTGCCTGAACACCCTTCCCCCAGATGTCAGCACGGCGGCCCCTCTCGCTGTTCCAACACCCCCACGTACGATCCAGGGTGTGTGATCCTGGCCCCCGCCCGCCCTCGCTTCGTATCTCTCTCCTGTCTGCCGCGTCTCTCTCCTCTATCTGCCGCGTCTTGTCAGAGAACACGAGGTCGCCACCTGTCTCCCCCGCCGGCCCCTGAGCACGCACGGAGCAGGTGGGGCTGGCCTTGGAGCTGCTGCCCCTCTCCCAGCACCCAGGGCCCTGCAGGGGAGCCGCTCTCACCATCCCCACTTTACAGATGCAGGGACTGAGGCTCCGCGGGGGGATGAGGTGGCCAGAGGGCACCCAGGAGGCAGGAGCCGATGCCTCCCTAGTGGGAGGCGGGCCGGGCCCCAGGCCAGCCTTGCACAGTGGAGCCGCCTGGACTAGGAAGCAGACGGCTCTTCTCGCCTGGGCGGGGCTGGGGTGCGCGGCGGGCAGAGGCCATACTCAGATAAACCGCCGGGCCCAGGGCCCAGCAGGCCGGGAGTGCTCCGTGGACGGTTCCAGCAGGGTGGAGAGGGAGGATGCTGAGGACGAAGGCCCGCGCCCTCCTGGCCTTCGCTTCGAGACCTTGGCTGGGGTCTGGGTTTGACCAGCGCCCCTGGGCCTGCAATGGGGGTGTGAGCCCCGCGCCCAGCAGGCAGACCCCCTTCCTGCGGCCGCTCTCAGGCCACAGGCGTCTTGTGTTCTCCGCTTCCCAGACCGCAGGGCAGGCTCAGCCAGGACACTAGCTGAGACCGACCGACACGCCATCCGTCCCCTCCCGCCCCCGGACCCAGCAGCCTGGACTGCTGCCTCCCTCCTCCCTGCCTCAGTTTCCGTGCCCATCTTCAAAGGCACGGGGCCTGGGGGCTCGTCCCGGCCACCCGAGCATGGAGTGGTGGCTGTCCTCTCGCGGTCACTGCCGGCACCCCGGGTGGGCATGGGTGAGCCGCCCGCGTGCGTGCCTGACGCCAGCCTCCCCGCTCTCACAGCCCACAGCTACGGGATTGGAGCTGCCGCCTGTGCGTACATGGGCATGACGGCCGCCCTGGTCAAGATGGGCCAGCTGGAGGGCTGGAAGGTGTTTGCAGAGCCCAAGGTGTGAGCCCTGCCGCCTCCTGGGACTTCGGGCAGGTTGAAATTCGTCTGAAAATAATAAATTCCGTGTATGTCTGTGTGAGTTTCCCCTGCTCCGTTGTTCTCTGGGGTGCAGCCCTGTCCGGGGAGGGCTGGGTGACAGGCCAGCGCTGGTGAGGGCCTCAGGGCGGATGCTAGAGGAGTGAGGAAGCGGCAGGAGATAAGGCATCTGGGTCTGTGCCTGACGGCCCGACGGCGCCAGCTGGGCCCCGGAGGAGGGAGCAGGCGTCGGGCAGGGGTCCGCGGGCCTCGGCCTGTTCTCTTGGCGGGCGGGAGCCCATGGGGGTGGGACTGGGCCCTGCTGCCCACAGCCCTTCCTGCGGCCCCCGCTGCAGGCTCCTCTCTGGGCCTCCCCCCAAAGCCAACAGCATGTGGAAAACACGCCCAGGCCCCATGCACGGCCCGTTTCCAAATTCCTGGGTGTTGGAGCGGAGAGCCCTGGACAGCCTGGCCCCGGAGCCTCGTCCCCGTCCGACAGGTGGGTGACAGGCCACCGGGAGCCCTCAGGGCAGGTGCCCACGGCAACAACGAGAAGAGGGACTCGAGGTCCTCGCCCGCTGCTGCCTGTCAGGCCTGGCGATTTAGGTGGCTCCAGAATGCTGGCACAGCCTGGCCCTGGGCTTTCTGCACAACTGGCTCAGTTCTTCCTGGAAGCCAGAAAGGAAGGCTCGGCATGTTCCAGCATACCTCGATGGGCCATTAATTAGGGCTCCCAGGGCCCCACCCTAGGGAGCAGGGTCGGATGAGGGTGGGATCGGGTCCTGGCAGGGGTCTGGGCGCTGCAGGTGGCCCAGGGGCGCCAGGAGCCGGCCAGGCTGGTCGCAGCCCTCACGCACCCCCTCCCTGGTGTGTGGCCCGTCCCTCCTTCCCCTTCCTCCTCTCTTGGGGGCCTGGACGTGGTTGAAAGCCAAGCTTGGAGCCTTGCTTTCCTCCTCTGTCCACCCCAGCTAATAACTCATCCGGGTGTTAAGCAGAGCACAGGGCCTCAGCCCCACGGCCATTGGCTGGGCTGGCCTCACCACTATTTCCTTATGCCCCCAGCCGCCATACAGCCATTCAGGTCCCTCCCAGCCCAGGCCCCTCAGCCTCCCCACCTGCCACACTGAGCCTCTCCACGCTGACACGGCCCCTCGTCCAGCATGCCCTCTAGGGAGTGGGCGCCAGTGTCCACGTGCGGCCTGGGACCGGCCACCGGCTCGGGGTCACGTCCGGGCCTAGCTACCCGAGCCTGGACTTGGGGGTCTTAGAGAGAGAGGGTGGAGATGCCCCACCGGCCCATGGACTGGGAGGGGAGGGCCCAAGAGGGCTCTGGGCTCCGAGACCTGCGTTCGAAACCCAACACTTGGTTCTTTCCTGGCTCTGTCTTCGGTTTCCCCGCCTGGGAAGTGGGGATGACCGGGTCCCTCCCTCAGAGATGTTCCCTGAAGAGGGAGAATAGCTACACCCCATGGAAGCGCCCTTTCCCTGCACTCTAGGCAGTGGCCGGCGTCCCCTGCTCCTGCACCAGCCTGGTCTGTCCCTGCGGTGGCTGGCAGGGGGCGGAGCCCACCATGCTCGGTGCCCCCCCCCAGGTCCCCAGCACTGTGGCCCTGCCACGACCGCGAGAAGTCAGGTTCCATCCCTGCTGCCTGCCTCTCCCTCCTTCCACGGCTTCCCGCCTGTCCCACCCCGCAGCAGCCCGGGCAGCAGGGGCGACAGGTTCGAGTTGGTGGCGGGTTGGTAGTGTGGCCCCGTCGTCACCGTAAATAGGGCCTGTGATCGTCATCGGGGCTGCCAAGGGCTGGAGCCGGGAGGACCTGTTCAAGGCCCCGCAGCTGGTCACTTCCCAGCCCCCGCACAGCAGTAGCTTCCAGAGCCAGATCTGCCCAGGGCCCCCCTCCACCCTACACCCTTCCTCAGCCCCTGCTCTCCTGAAGCCCAAACCCTGTGCCAGGTCCAAGGGCCCACGGAGCGGAGGAAGAGCTCATTCACAGCCAGCCAGCCCCAGCCCACTTCCGGGCCTCGGTTTCCCCTCTAGCTCAGGCCAGGGCTGTGCTGCCGCCCACCCAGCCCTTTGTGGGCTGGCGGCCAGCGTTGGAGCGGTGCCCCCAGCAACGGCCCAGGCCCCCCCAGAATGGGGCAGGAGGGAGCAGGTGCTCCCCGGGCTCCAGGCAGCCCCAGACCCGTCAGCCATTAACATGTACTAGGCTCTGAGGGGCCCGCATCATCGCCACACACAGGCCCCGGGGGCACGGCCCCTGTCCAGTGGATCCAGTTCCCCTGCTCCTCGACCTGGAACCCCACATCCTGCCACAGCAGCCCCGACGTGGGGCAGTGGAGGACCTTTCCAGAGACACTCATCCCCCGCCTCGACGAAGCCACCCCCAGCCCCAGACAGTCTGGACTAGCGAGGGGAGGGGGCGACAGGAGGGCTTCCTGGATGAGGCAGAGAAGGGAGGACCTGGGCATGAAGAGGTCTTTCCAGACGTGGACAGAGGGGAAGGGTATCCCAGGCAGAGGACAGAGCAAGATCAAAGGCCTGGGAGAGGGCACAGCAGGTGAGCGATACAGACCTGGGGTCAGTGGTGGGGCACTCCCTCACCGAGGACCCTAGCCCTGGGGACACTTGCCAGTGGGGACAAAGCTGCAAGGACTGACCCAGCCCTCCAGGCCGGGCGGGTCTCTGAGCTCTTTGCAAGCCGAGAAAATGTGAGCCATCCAAGTAAGAGAAAAGGAGAAAACCCTTCGAGCCCTTCCCGCCTGCCAGCAGGGCCCATTTGTCGATGGTGATGTTGCTGTCATTTTGTGGGCTTGTTGCATCCTGACAACAGCCCCGGGAGTGAGCTCTTGACATTAGTCCTGTTTTACAGATGAGGAAACTGAGGCCCCAAGAGGTGACATCACAGGGCCTGGCTCACAGCAGGCACTCGGTGTTAGTTCTTTATTTTATTTATTCTTTTGGCCGCACGGCACGGCATGCGGGATCTTAGTTCCCCGACCAGGGATCAAACCTGCGCCCCCTGCACTGGAAGTGCAGAGTCTTAACCACTGGACCGCCAGGGAAGTCCCCAATGTTAGTTCTTTTATTATTATAGCTATTGTTGGCAAAGAACATTATAGACTGTCTCTGGAAGACTTCCCGTGTGGTCGCCGTGGCAGGAACAAAAGCAGCCCAATGGGACAAGGGAGGTGTTTTTGCGGCCAAGTGATCTTAAAAGCAAAGTTATACCCTCACAAATTCCTGTAAAAAGTTACGTTGGACGTGGGCTGCAGGACACATGACGCTTTCAAGGAGGCCCCACAGGCCTGCCGTTTGCCCCTGCTGGACCTGGAGGCTGGTCCTCTGCCCTCTCACCCCTTTTCACACCCTTCTGCCTTCCGAGTCCATCCTGGGTCTGCCCACATCTCACTCCCTCCGCAGCTCGCACCCAGGTCCGGCCCTGCCTGGACCTGGGTACTCACCCCCATCCTGGTCTCCGGCTCCACCCTCGCCCCCAGTCTGTCCTCCCCACAATAGCCATTGGCAACGCCAGAGTCAGGTCATGTCCCCCCTCTGCCCACAGCCCTCCAGGGCTCCCACCTCCCTGGGGATAAAAGCCCAGGTCCTCCCTGCGGCCCACAAGGCCCTGCACGACCTGCCCCGTCCCCTCCCTGCCCTCCCCTCCTCCCTCTCTCCCCCTCGCTCACTCTGCTCCAGACACACGGGCCTCCTGGCTGTTCCTCCAACACGCCAGGCATGGTCTTGCCCCGGGGCCTTTGCACAGGCTGTGACCTCTGCCTGGACGTCTCTCCCTGCAGATGTCCCCTACAACTCGCCAACTCACCTCCTTCAGTTCTCAGTTCAAATGTCACCTCCTCATTGAAACCTCCCTGACACACCACTGAAATGGTGCCCCACCCAGCCCGCAGCGCCCCACACGCCGTTTACCCTCTTCTCTTTTTGTCCATCACACTTACCAGCTTCCAAATCCCCCATCATCCTCCTGTGTACTGTTTAGTGGAGCATGGGACATATCCTGGTTGTTATACCCTTGGGTCAGCACCCAGCCTGGGAACACAGCAGAGCTCTGTAAATACGTGGCCCAGCCCTGCTCTGGGCGGGGTCCCACTCACTTTAC